TATCCTAATTAAAGGACAAAGGTGGGTGCTGGTGTGTAGAAACGCATAACTTTATTTCTTGTTACGCATCCGTATACATATATAAATACTAATAATTTCACTCCAAGCAAGACAGATTAAAAGGACATAAAGAAATGCACACAGGCAAGGCAAATTGTAAACCCTATAAATACAAAAAAAAAAAACAATGCACACAATACTCCCCTTTACACAAGCAAGTAATCATACAATAAATTCATCAATCACCTTAACGTGATGCACTGCAATCAGAACAGTTCTGTGAGAATCTTTAAGGGAATTATTGCACGTTGCACACAATACTATTGCATTAAAAGGGACCCTGGAGTATAAATATAGTTGTTAACGTCAATGAACAGACAAAACAATATGAAAAAAAAAAACCATTTGAAAATAAAATGCAAGACAATATTTGGTCGAGATACAACTATTTGAAAATCTGGAATCTGAGGGTGCCAAAAAATCGAAATATTTAGAAAATCGCCTTTAAAGTTGTCCAAATGAAGTTCTTAGCAATGCATATTACTAATCAAAAATTAAGTTTTAATATTTACGGTAGAAAATTTAGAAAATATCTTCATGGAACATGATCTTTACTTAATATCCTAATAATTTTTGGCATACACTCTTAAAAATAGAGGTGCTTCACAATGCCATTGAAGAACCTTTTTGTCTAAATGGTTCCATAAAGAACCTTTAACACCTGAAGAACCTTTCTGTTTCACAAAAGGTTCTTTGTGGCGAAAGAAGGTTCTTCAGATTACAAAAAGGTAAGAAAGAGATGGTTCTTTAAAGAACCTTTGACTGAATGGTTCTTTGTGGAACCAAAAATGGTTCTTCTATGGCATCACTTGAAGAACATTTTGAAGCACCTTTATTTTTAAGAGTGTACAAGAAAAATCAATCATTTTGATCCATACAATGTATTTTTGACTATTGCTACAAATATACCCCAGCGACTTGAGACTGGTTTTGTGCTCCAGGGTCACAAGACAATATTTGGTCGAGATACAACTATTTGAAAATCTGGAATCTGAGGGTGCCAAAAAATCGAAATATTTAGAAAATCGCCTTTAAAGTTGTCCAAATGAAGTTCTTAGCAATGCATATTACTAATCAAAAATTAAGTTTTAATATTTACGGTAGAAAATTTAGAAAATATCTTCATGGAACATGATCTTTACTTAATATCCTAATAATTTTTGGCATACACTCTTAAAAATAGAGGTGCTTCACAATGCCATTGAAGAACCTTTTTGTCTAAATGGTTCCATAAAGAACCTTTAACACCTGAAGAACCTTTCTGTTTCACAAAAGGTTTTTTGTGGCGAAAGAAGGTTCTTCAGATTACAAAAAGGTAAGAAAGAGATGGTTCTTTAAAGAACCTTTGACTGAATGGTTCTTTGTGGAACCAAAAATGGTTCTTCTATGGCATCACTTGAAGAACATTTTGAAGCACCTTTATTTTTAAGAGTGTACAAGAAAAATCAATCATTTTGATCCATACAATGTATTTTTGACTATTGCTACAAATATACCCCAGCGACTTGAGACTGGTTTTGTGCTCCAGGGTCACATATACGCAAAAAAAAAAGAGAATCTCCCCCAAATTGGGTTGTTTTTAACCCAGTGTTTTTTGCGTGTGTAGCATGAACAGTTTTTTTATTTAAATTAAATCCGACTTTAGGTTTGTGAAATTATAATTCTTAAAACAGAACTAAACACAACCAGCAGAACGTCTGAATGAGAACGCAAATTCACAGAAAACAATAATATTCATTTTATTTATAATGCGCTTTTCTGAAACCCAAAGCGCAACAAACAATAGCAAATAAAAACAAATAAAATACATTTAGTAGTTGCCACCATCAGTAATGTATTTTTTGATGTTGTGATCTTGTCTTAGGCGCTTCGCTCTGGACTTTGCAGAGTTTTTGAGCTGTGTAAGCAGAACTGTTGGGAATCTGTTGCATTGCCAGTAATCGGACCCGGCATAGTGCTGTCAATACCGGTCAAAGACTCTGTTAATATTCTTACTCATGAGATCTGCGAATTTTTATCTGGATCCACTGGTTGCCTGGACACCATTTGTATCGCAATAATGGCTAATTATGCTCATTCTGAAGAGGTAAGCAATCTATATAACTCACACACACACTATATACACACTCAATGCAATGAAGTTTATTTCTATTCCTAACCCTATTTTGGAAATATTTTGCAGCTGTTCCAGACAGTCTGTGGGAATCTGAGTGCAAAAATGGTGGACAACACAGGGGAAGGCAAGAGATTTATATATATATATATATGTATAAGCTATGAGACGCCAAACAGGAAATAATTATGTAAATTCTGAATATATAAGTGTAAAGCTGAATATATAAACTTAAAATGTGAACATAGTTATAACCACGAATATATAGAAGTACATCTGAATATAAATGTAAATCTGAATATACAGTTATAATCAAGAATATATAGATACAAATCTGAATATATAGAAGTACATCTGAATATATAAATATAAATCGGAATATGCAGAAGTACATCTAAATATATAAATGTAAATCTGAATATATAGTTATAACCATGAATATATAGATACAAATCTGAATATATATAGAAGTAAATCTGAATATATGGTGATTCCTTGAAATATTGTACCTAGTAAAGGGAAAAAATGCTATGTGATAACCAGAGCCTCATTAAGACTGCACTGGGCCCCGGGGCTATGACTTACTGCAGGGCCCCCATCACAATAATGATATATACAGTGGGTACGGAAAGTATTCAGACCCCCTTAAATTTTTTACTGTTATATTGCAGCCATTTGCTAAAATCATTTAAGTTAAATTTTTTTTCCTCATTAATCTACACACAGCACCCCATATTGACAGAAAAACACAGAATTGTTGACATTTTTGCAGTTTTATTAAAAAAGAAAAACTGAAATATCACATGGTCCTAAGTATTCAGACCCTTTGCTGTGACACTCATATATTTAACTCAGGTGCTGTCCATTTCTTCTGATCATCCTTGAGATGGTTCTAAATTAACTTGAATGATTTTAGCAAATGGCTGCAATATAACAAAGTGAAAAATTTAAGGGGGTCTGAATATTTTCCGTACCCACTGTGTGTGTGTGTGTGTGTATATATATATATATATTTATTATTATTATCATCATATTTTGTTTTTACTTAAAGGCAGACTAAGTGATTTCTGGTAGCCAATGTTGATATTTGAAATCACCAAAACAAACACACCCCTACCCCAAAAGAGTCTTGCCCCTATTTTGATAGCTCCGCCCCACATATACGTACGCAACCCAGGCAACGATTAGTTCTGTGAAACCAAGCAAAACCAATGTTACACCACGTCTACGGACGTGAGCGGCATGGCGCAACAAATCCCCGACAGAAAACTGCTGCCGGGTTCTATTTATGACGTGCTGACACATTTCAAATGGTTTTCAGCAGTCGTTTGGTCGCGTCCAGTGTAGGCAGACTTTAGCTGTTGTAGACACGGTGTTACTCACCTATCGAGAAGAAACAAAGCAACCTCGGCGTCTGATCGCAGGCCTCCGCTCCTTGAGTTCTCTCCAGCGCTGGAAAGCTGATCCGATATTTACACTGGTCCTACTTCTTGCCTTATCGTTCCACAGATGTTTTCCTCTTTTGTATTTTATCCGCCATCTTTATCTTTCTGTCGCTCGGCTAATGTCCATCCTGTGCACTGAACTCTCTCTCCTCCACATCACGAGTAGACACGCCCATTATTGCTGATTGGCTACAAGTTTGTTTTGCGATTCGGCCCGAATCAGTTTTCTAAAGTGTTTTTGAAAAATCACTTACTCTGACTTTAAGAGTCAAAAGTCGCCCATGTTCATATTTGCATGTATACATTCAGATGTACTTCTATATATTCAGATTTACTTCTATATTTTTGTGGTTATAACTGTATATTCACATTTTAAGTTTATATTTTCAGATTTACATTTATATATTCAGCATTTACATAATTATTACCTGTTTGGCACCTCATAATAAGCTCACTTACATATTAGATATAGTAACTTAGGAACATGCCACAGCACATTTTGACACTATGACAAGCATGATGCTGTGTGGTAAAATTAAAAATAGTCAATGAGAAATGTCTAAATGACACTCAGAATAAGTCTAACTGGCCAATAGTGCTCATGCACACAAAGGATTTGTTGTTGTGTATTGGAAATTCTTACATTTAACTAAACCTTCCAAGGTTTCTTACATCTGTACATCTCTTTATCGGTCACCACAGCTCTGTTTCAGTCACTGACCTCTGACCTTGATGAGATCATCATGCCAGTAGATGGGATTGAACTCCATCTAGTGTTTGGAGACATCACTAATGAGACTACTGAGGCCATCGTGAACACCACTGACTTTAAGGACTTCCAGACAGCTGGTATTCATGCAGATTTTGTAATTTAATAACCAAAACATTCTTGCTACACTGTTTAGAACATAAGAGAGTGTTTAACCTGTCCATCACAGGAGTGTGTAAGGACATCCTTACTAAGGCAGGACCTCAAATCCAGGCTCAACTGACAGGCGGTAAGAAAAATAAACTACAGCCTCTTTTATAAAATTAGCTTTTGATTTTATTACATATATGAAAAGACTTTTGTCAAGCATGTTTGAATGCACTAAATAATACCTATGTATGCAAGCATCGGAAGTCATTTTAACACAAAGTTTTATGAAATTGATAGACTTATCTATCAAATTTAACTTTCCCTGGAAGCCATTTCTTTTGAAAATGATCTAATCTAATTAAATCAGAATCACATGCCTTCATTAGAAACAGTGTGATTTTAGAAAATTTGAAGAAACTTCATACACTTAACTGAGCCTGTTTGCAAATATAGAAATGCAGAAATGGCAACCTTCTTTAGGCATTTTTTAAAAATCTAATAAAGTACAGAAAATCAAATGACACTTTAAAATAGATAAATGATTTAATTAATCAAATATATACATGCAATATATCATCTAACACTATCCCTTACATATATTCTCCAGCTCGGGCAGCGAGCGGGCAGATCTTCAAGACCCCACCAGGAGGCTTCCCCTGTAAGACCATCATGCATGTTTGTGGAGAGAGAAACCCTGATGTTATCAAGACCTTGGCAAAAGAAATAGTGGTTCAATGTGAGCATGGCTGCTACAGGTCTGTGGCCATTCCTGCGATCTGCGCTGGTCAGTAACTTCATTGTTACTTGCATTGTGAAAAAAAATTATGTCTTGTAAGGTAGTTTGTTTTGGTTTTTTTTCCTCATTACTATCTCCTATAACAATGAAGGTCTGTTTCCAACTCCGAGTAAAAAATACTGTAATTTGAAAATGTTTATCTCATAATTCTCAGAATTGCAAGATAAAAACTCGAAATTGCAGTAGTTTGTTTTGGTTTTTTTTCCTCATTACTATCTCCTATAACAATGAAGGTCTGTTTCCAACTCCGAGTAAAAAATACTGTAATTTGAAAATAAATGTTTATCTCATAATTCTCAGAATTGCAAGATAAAAACTCGAAATTGCAAGATATAAACTCAGAATTGCGAGATATAAACTCAGAATAGCGAGATATAAACTCAAAATTGCGAGATATAAACTCAAAATTGCGAGGTATAAACTCAAAATTGCGAGGTATAAACTCAAAATTGCAAGATATAAATTCAAAATTGCAAGATATAAACTAGGAATAATGAGATATAAACTCAGAATTATGAGATAAACTCAGAATTGCAAAATATAAACTCAAAATTGCGAGGTATAAACTCAAAATTGCGAGATATAAATTCAAAATTGCAAGATATAAACTAGGAATAATGAGATATAAACTCAGAATTGTGAGATATAAACTCAGAATTGTGAGATATAAACTCGGAATTGTGAGATATAAACTAGGAATCATGAGATATAAACTCAGAATTGTGAGATATAAACTCAGAATTGTGAGATATAAACTCGGAATTGTGAGATATAAACTAGGAATCATGAGATATAAACTCAGAATCGTGAGATATAAACTCAAAATTGTGAGATATAAACTCAAAATTGCGAGATATAAAATCAGAATTATGAGATATAAACTTAAAATGGCAAGATATAAACTCAGAACTGAGATATAAACTCAAAACTGTGAGATATAAACTCAAAATTGCAGGATATAAACTAGGAATTATGAGATATAAACTCAGAATTGTGAGATATAAACTCAAAATTGTGAGATATAAACTCAAAATTGCGAGATATAAACTCAAAATTGCGAGATATAAACTCAAAATTGCAAGATATAAACTCAAAATTGCAAGATATAAAATCAGAATTATGAGATATAAACTTAAAATGGCAAGATATAAACTCAGAACTGAGATATAAACTCAAAACTGTGAGATATAAACTCAAAATTGCAGGATATAAACTAGGAATTATGAGATATAAACTCAAAATTGTGATATAAACTCAAATTTGCAAGATATAAATTTAAAATTGCAAGATATAAACTCAAATTTGTGAGAGATAACTCAGAGATATATCCATACATTTTAACAGCTGAAAAATACTGATTTTGTCTTTGCTTGTATATATGAGCGCATTCATTTGATAATTTGATCAATTTGGTTCCCACATAAAAAGGCAAAAACTAAGTCTAGTATTTTTTTACGTTTACATTTATGCATTTCGCAGATGCTTTTTTCTAAAGCGACTTAAAGGGGAAAGTTCACATTCAAAATGATCATCTTTTGTGTTCAGTGGAAGAAAGAAATTCATACAGGTTTGAAACAACATGAAGTTGAGTAAATGTTGTCAGAATTTTCATTTCTGGGTGAGCTATCCCTTTAAGTTGCATGCAAAATATACATTTTATCAGTTTGTGCATTTACTGGGAATTGAACTTATGATCTTGGCGTTGCAAGCGCCATGAATGTTGAAGACTCGCAAGACTTTGTCATGGTCTTTATAAGAATAAGGCTTTTTACTGCACAAATATATTTATCTAGTATAATTGCTCAGTAGTTTATCTGATTAGAAATATGCATGAATTAAATGGTAGGAATGTTTTGGCATCATAAACCGCCATGTCAAGGTAAATTGACATCTCTGCAGGACAAGGAAGTTTGGATCCAAATGTGGTGGCCAAGTCCATTCTAGAGGGAGTAAAGGAAGGTGTTCAAGGAGCGAATCTTCAACATCTCAAAAACATTCGGATCATTCTGCTGAAGATTAATGTTTTTCTCGCATTCAAAGCAACATCAAAGCAAATGTTTGGCGGTAATACGCAGTTAACAGGTGAGAATGAATCTGCATAATGCGGAGGCACTTTTATTTCTTGCCCATCTCATGCATTATAAAAAACAATTCTTCAAAATATTTCAATATTTTTTACAGTGTTTTCACAGGACACTCATTATCAATTTTGCACATTCACCTTTTTCAGCTCCTGCACCACTTGTACTTACCAGTGTAACCACCAGAGGACGCAGTGCAACCAGTATCAGGCACAGTGGATCAACTAGATCAAGCAGATCACATTCCTTACCCTTACCAGTCGCTTTGGACTTCAGTTCTCTAGTGACATCTTTGCCTGACACAGAGAGCACAGCAGCATTTCTAGTCATTGGTCACACCAATAATGATGTTTCTAATGCCTGCAGAGATCTTCAGCAGGCATATAAGGACCAGTGCTCCACACACACTTTCTTTCCTGATGAGATTGAACGCCTCACTCAAGAGGAGATGGACCAGCTGCTCTCTAAAGTGAATTCACTACACCTGCAGATAGCACAGAACAGTTCTGAAGAATGGGAAGTTGAAGGACAGAGGAACGGAGTGAATGAGGTGGTTAGACTGATACAAGATGCACTTCGCAGACAGGTGAGAATAACAATGAATTAGCTCTCCACACAATTGCCTCAGCACATAATGCATAGCACTTGCAAATAATAGTCAATGCCGATAGCCTTGTGTTGTGTCTACGAGTGTCCTGATTCTGAGTCCTGGCTCATGGGCCTTTCCTGATCCTGACTTGCACACACACAAACATACATACGCTGCAATTGTATACTAATCTTCTTGTATACCAACTATGGTATACTAATCTTCTGGGGCGTTTTGGTGACTAATGATAAATGCAATAAAAACTTAAAATCGTGAAATCAAATCGTTTTTCATGATTATTCATTTCCAAAGCCTAACATTTTATTTCTCCCAAACTCTAAGGTAAGAGAGAAGGACCAGACCTTCCTCTTCAGTCAGGTCACGTGGTGCATTCTGGGACCACGGGGCATTTGGCAGAAGGTACCAAAAGACGTGAATTATAAGCTTGAGAAAAGAGATGTGAAAGATGGAATTGAGGATGCACAGGCTGTGAAATGGACTGTGGATTTGCAAAAGATGGAGGCCACATCATGTGATTCAGGACAGGTGACCGCTCTCAAACGACTGGAGAACCCTTCAGGTGAGAAACCGCTTTTATAGTATATGAAAATATGACCCTGATTATGTTAAATATATATTTGATACTGTGACAGATAAAAAAAAGATCAAATCTTTATCCAGTTGAAAACCACTGATCTACATCCATAATATAAATTGATACATAATCCAGCTAAATCAAAAGCCTCATTATTTTGCATTTCAGATTTGTCTTTGCCAATCTACTGGGACAACATGAGTCAGAGTGACCTCTTAAAGGTGATTGTCTTAGATCCATCATCTACAGAGTACAAGACTGTGAAGATGGGCTTCAAGAGGACAGTCAGAAAAACCGTGCTCAAGGTGTGACAGCTGACACCATCTTAGTGTGCTTTACATGACATAAACCATCGAAGGACATAAAAATGGATTTTAAAGAAGTACATAATGTCTTAATTCATGTCTAGTTGAATTTTAGGATTAGAGATAGTCTAAAACAAGGGCTTATTATAGGTTAAATCAAGGGCCAGATTGTATTAATGGCACCTATTGGTACCTTCTAGTACCATGTTTGGGGCAGTCATGGCCTAATGGTTAGCAAGTCGGACTTGTAACCCATAGATTGCGGGTTCAAGTCTCGGTACTGGCAAGGATTGTTGGTGGGGGGAGTGAATGACCAGCACTCTCTTCCACCTTCAATAACATGACTGAGGTGAGACCCTTGAGCAAGGCACCAAAGCCCCAACTTTGGTGCAATATGGCTGCCTCACTGCTGTGTGTGTGTGCACTTGGGATGGGTGAAATGCAGAGCACAAATTCCGAGTACAGGACACCATACTTCATTTTCACTTTTCATTTTGTATGGCAGTATAGTCTTTATAGTTTGCTTCTATGAAGAACAACAGATGTGAATGTGAAGTCCATCAAATATATACATGGCTGTTTGAGTGCAAATGTATTTCAACAGATCGAGCGCATCCAGAACATGAATCTTCGGCGGTTATACGAGGCACGTAAAAAAGAGTTGGAGAACAGAAATGGTCTAATTGTGGGAGCAGGAGAGAAGATCCTTTATCACGGCACATCAGAGGCGTCCTGCTCATCCATCATGAAGTCAAACTTTAATCGCAATTTTGCAGGGCAAAATGGTAACTGCTTTATTTATTTATTTTTTTTTAAAGGTTGGTTAAATTAATAGTCCACCCAAAAATGGAAATTCTGTCACTATTTGTTTGTGACCAATATACATTGTTTCAAACCTCTATGAACTATGATGGTTCATAATGACTAAATGCACCATAAAGTGAAGTTCATCTGACTCACTCATAGTCCTCCTGAAGTCATGCAATAACTGTAGGAGTGACAAACCCAACAGCGAGTGATGACAGAATTGTAAGTTTTGGGTGAACATTGGATGAACTTCCTCTTTATAGTTTAACAGTCTATTAAACAGATTCCCAGTCAGTCACTGATGGTCTCGTTAATTGTTCAGTTTGCAGACTAATTAATTCTGGTGGCTTTTATGCCTTTCTCAGCCACCGTCTACGGACATGGGACGTACTTCGCTGTGAACGCCAGCTACTCTGCCCATCCTACCTATGCAATTCCTGCAGCAGACGAGACTCAGCTCATGTTTGTGGCTCGTGTGCTTACGGGTTATTACGCTAAGGGTCAGGGGGACATGAGGACGCCCCCTGAGCGCGTGGCTCCTGACCTCTATGACAGCGTGGTGGATGATACGCAGAATCCCTCCATGTTTGTAGTTTTCCACGACTGCCAGGCTTATCCTGACTACCTCATCACATTCAAATGAACTTGTGCAAAAACCAACTCTGGATTTTAAACCAGGGTTGATCTTACATTAAAATGTAATCATTTAGGGGACACTGTTATGTAGAGGGTTTGATTTAGTTAGTTAACGCATACCTTTTTATGCTTTATGCCACAACTAACTGGTGCTCAGCAGATATGAGTGTTTACGTAACCAGTATAATTCAGATTAGACAGTTTTATGATAGCAAATAAAAATTTGTGTTCTTCAGGAAATCTTGAAATTTACAAGAATTTATGAGCAGAAAATGTGCAATATCAACTGGTAAAGCGGTCTGTAGATTGACAGTATGATATTAAATACTTGTGTGAGTTGCAAATGTTTGAAGTCTGAAAGAGAAAGATTCATCTGTCTCTTGTGCAAACAACAGAAGTGGCATGCAACTATGATATTTAGCTTCAGGGCGATCGATTCATCGCTCCAGGATAAAAACGGGCTTTTAAATGTGATTTGGTCGTATTCCAATACTTCCTTCTCAGTTCCCATGTCTGTTTCAGGCTCCTTGCTGTCATGAAGAAACAATTTGGCATTGTTTTGTATGAAATGTAGGAGTTTGCGCAATTTGCAGACACAGCTATCTATGCAATTCTTTCAAACATCAACTGGAAGTACTTCAGAGAAACCAATAAGACCTGTTTATATTGCTACAAAAAATAGTTGTTATTGTATTATTTGGCTTAATTTCTACTTTATCTGAAAATAATTTAGCTGCACATACAGATCAATCTGTTTTATTAAGTATGTTTATTAGCTATACTTTAATAATTAGGACATTTATGATAAAAAAAATATTAAAATCTCCCACTGACTTGTTAACTTTCAAAATGTTTGCAATTCGAAATTAATTTAACAGACGTCATCGTGATGTTTGCATAATGAATTGGGATTGGTTTTTGGTTTCCTGTCCTTATCACAAGCACTATGAATCACCTGTATTTTACAAACATGTACTACAAAATAAAAAGATTTTTAACAAGAATGACTGAATGGGTTGAGGTGTTAAAGGAAGTAGTTCAAACCAACATAATTCCGTCATATTGATTCACGCTTGTCATATTCTGTTCATGTTTGACAGTCAAGCTGTAAAACACGAATCATAAAACTAGTCCATGTGACTTCTGTGCATTAATAAGTAATTGAAGTTATTAAGTTATATGATGGCCCAAATTTGAATTATTCACTGAAAATCTTCCCTATCATAGCCATAGATGTGCATAGGTAGATGCCTCATTCGACAGCTCCAAGCACGACAGCTCCAAGTCCGCCATTGAATATTCGAATATTCATTGATTATTATGGTGAATGACTCAAGTTGACCCTTCCAATATGGTGGACGGCTTACATATAGCGGCCCACAGAAACAGTCGCCAATGAGGCATCTACGTATCTATGCACAGATATGAATAGGTACACTAAAAAATGCTGGAATATGGACTAACCCAACTGTTGGGTTAAAAAGCTAATTTAAAAATGTAACCAAAATTTAACACAACAGTTGGGTTAGTCCATATTTGACCCAACATTGGGTTGAAACAACCCAGCATTTTTTAGAGTATAGATGCCTCATTCGACAGCTCCAAGCACGTAGATGCGTCCGCCATCTTTAACGGTCAACTTGACGTCATTCACCATAATAATCAATGAATATGAGAAGATGCCACAATCCTGCACAGCCGATGGTTGTAAAAACCGCCGGAATTTAAATTCCCGAAGAAACAGGATAACCTTTCACAGGTGAGAATGCGAAAGAGTGGGTGGAAACATAGATATGTAAGGATTGTGGCATCTTCGAATATTCATTGATTATTATGGTGAATGATGTCAAGTTGACCCTTCCAATATGGCGGAGGGCTTATGTATAGTGGCCCATAGAATCAAGGCATCTACTTCTAAATATCTATGTATCTATGATCATAGCATAATACAGTTTAGATGCCATTTAGAATTTTACTCGGATGAAACTGAGACTTAAAATGACATGCACTGTATTAAGGCAAACACTATTAAAGTCCTAGATCAAATAATTAACACGATTGTTTATAAAGTTTTTGTTTACTGAAATCTAATGTGAGCAACCCTGCTCGTTTTATTCTTGTCAAAAATTAAATATGGCTACCCTGGCTAAAGCTGCACACTTTTATCCATCTAAGCTTGTGCACACATTATTTCAGAGCTTTCATTTTCTTTTTATTCCTCACACAAAGCTACTATGTGGAAATGGAGTATGCAAGTCTTATTTACTTAACTTGACTGATGTGCTGGATTAGAGCTGTGTGGGAAAAACACATATGGGTTGCACACATGGGTGAGTTAACATGATAAAGCTTTAATTTGTGGGTGAATTATTGATTAATGTGAGTAAGGTAGGCTAACAATGTTTCCACTGTGTTTAAATTAGTTGTGTAGACAGTGTGTAATTGTAGTGACATAGTTGAATAATGTTTTATCTCATATCTTCCAACAAAATAGAGTGAGTAAAGATAGGCCTGAGGAATGTGCATAGGATTCCTCTTATCGCTATACAAAATGCTTCAGTGGAAAGATGAGGAAAACGCTGTTTACACATTTCAATCATTATTTCACTCATCATTAACTCATTAGATGCGGTGTGTGTGTGTGGTCTGCCGGAGAGGCATCATGACTTTATTTTTTATATATAAATATTTCCATTTAGTTGCAGAATGAAAAGTGACCTTTAGACAATATTGTTTTTATGTACAGTATTTAAAAAATGGAACCTATTTGTACTTAATATTACTTAATATATTTAATACTGTACATATAAGGGGATACAAATCTTTTGTTGAATGCAGTTGAATGCCTTTTTAGTACCATTTTAAAATTTTCTTAGGTTAAATTCAGTATTTGCTTGCACTCATTAATATTCACTTGTGTGTACTTATAAGAGTATCATTAAAAAATGTTAAAAGGACATTTAAAAATCTAGTGTTTAATCATGTCTAAACATTTATTCAAATGCAAAACTTAAAAATAAGTAAACAGGTATGACCTGCAATATTCTTTTGAGAAAATAAGTAGATACATGTATATTTATTAAATAGACACTGCAAAAATGATTGTGATTTAACAGTAAAAGACTTTAAAAATGCTACAGTAAAAACCTGTCAATTAGTTATCAGTAAGTTTCCATACTGTATAAGGTGAATAACTGTAATTACATTTAATGTAATTTTACAGTAAAGTACTGTATAAATTACGGTTTTTGGAAGTGAAAAAGAAAAGGTCATTGTATAAATTACAGTGAAAAAACGTAAATTGATACTCCCAGAATTCCCTGCATGACACTTCATATTTTATGTTTTTTCGTTGAAACAACTATGTTTCTTCTCAGTTTTTTTCTTATCATTAGGGTTTTATCTTACATCTAATGTTGTTCAATTAATGTTTATTGCATTATTTCAGTATCATGTGGGTTACCATGATGGTATTTAGTGTTTGTGTGAATGACACTGTGTACCTTCTATATATATATATA